ATATTTATGTTCCTAAGGTTATGGGTAACAACTTTCTTCAAAACATTCCGGAATCCGGGTATGTGGGCTTGGGGTGAATTTTAGGAATCTTGCAATTTGGGTTCGGTAATCACTCTAATAGTGGAGATATGAACTTTTGAGCATAAAGTGATTGATTTATGTAATGTTTGACTAGTTTCGAGTCGTTTGGCATTAAATTTGGAGGTTTGAGCGCATTCTTGAATTGGGAAGTAGGCTTTAAGACGAGGTAAATCTCTTTTCTAACCTTGTAAGAGGGAAATTACCCTATAGGTGAACTTAATTAATATGTGTTGTTATTTGTGGAGGGCTACGTACGTACGAAGTAAAGAGAGTCTGTACATATCTACTATTCATGTTTATGTCCGGATAGTTTTAGGTTTACATCATGCTTTGTGGACACCGTTAATTGATTATATTTGTTAATTGTATCAAATGAAACTAAGTCAAGGATTTTAAGGATTTAAAAGCTTCAAGTTGGATTGTCTTTATTTTGAAAAGAATCAAGAAAGAGTTATGATCTATTGATAATTTATATTTGACCGCGTCGCAAGTATATTCCGCGAGCGGGGTAATTCTTTCTACTACTCTCATGGGAGCGGGTCGTTCGTCTCGACAGGTTAATAGATGCATCTATGGTTCGTGTTGTTCGATCCTTGACAGTACACAATTTATATTTATGTTGGATCGGGCCGAACGTCCTCGGTGGAATTTTGTGTGTGGTAATAGAACTGGAATTACCTTTTATAATTGGTATAAATTCATTATTTGGAAGGTTATTTGTTTTAAATTAATGAAGTGATTTGGGCTCTTAAATCAAGTCCGATTGACCTCAAATTTTGCATTCAAGTCATAATTGACATAATAGAGCTATGAAAATTTTCGGAGCTGGATTCCGACTCTGGTATCAAAAAGTTGTGATGACCCAAAATGTCATCTTTAAATTTAATGATTAATTATGTGATCTAAGCACTATTTACCATTACTCGACTTGCGTGTGCAGTCCGTAAAATATTTTCGGAAAGTTTTCAGGTGAAAAATGAATTAAAATGTGAATTAGAGTTTTAAAACTCAATTGAGTTGACTTTGGTCAACATTTTGAGCAAACAGACTCGGATCAGTATTTTGACAGTTTTGGTAGGTCTATATCGTGATTTGGGACTTAGACGTATGCCCGGAATCAAATTCTGAAGTCCCTAGCCCGAGATATGGAATTTTGATGAAAAATTAAAAGTTTAAGTTCAAATAGTGACCGGATATGTCAAATTATGTACAAACGACCCCGGAATAGAATTTTGATGATTCCAACAACTCCGTATGGTAATTTTAGACTTAGGAGTATGATCGGAATTTTATTTGGAAGTCCGTAGTGGAATTAGGCTTGAAATGCCGAAAAGTTGAATTTTTGGAAAATTTGACCGAGGGGTTGACTTTTTGATATCGGGGTCAAAATTCGATTCTGAAACTTGTCATAGCTCAGTTATATCATTTATGACTTGTGTGCAAAATTTGAAGTCATTCCGAATTGATTTGATGTGTTTCGACACAAGATATAGAATTTGAAAGTTCAAAGTTCATTGATTTTGATTTGAGGTGCGATTCGTCGTTTTGATGTTGTTTGATGTAGTTTGAAGCCTCGACTAAGTTCGTATGGTATTTTGGGACATGTTGGAATAATTGGTTAAGGTCCCGAGGGTCTCAGGTGGATTTCGAAAGGTAAACGGAATGGATTTCGGACAAAGAGTGCTGGAAATTTCTGTTGCAGAAATTTCGTGCATGGAGCCAACTTGGGAAGCTTATATCTCGCAATTCATAAGGAATCATAACATTTTCAAAACAAGAAAGTTGTAGTTGTTTGATTATAGTTTCCATAAAGTTAAACCATTCATTATTTGGACATTTGTACACAAAGTTATGACGGATTGAATAAAGGCTGGTAGAGCAGTTTCGCCAGAAATTTCTGATGCGTGGAGCCGACTTTAAAAGCTTATATCTCGCAATTCATAAGGAATCCGAACATTTTCAAAACATAAAAGTTGTAGTCGTTGGATTATAGTTTTCAAAAAGTTAAACCATTTATCATTTGGACATTTGTATATGAAGTTATGATCAATTGAAGGAAGGCTAGTAGAGTAGTTTCTATTAGACTTTTAGTGACGAAAAATGGACTTTTAGTGACGAAAAATGGACTTTTAGTGACTGATTGACAGAAACTTAAGGACCAAAAATGGTCATTTCATTCATTTCGTTTTGGATTTTTGGAGCACGGTTCATGGGCGATTTTTGGGCGATTTTCATGGGAAAATATTAGGGTAAGTGTTCCTTATCCTATTTTGATTATATTTCATGATTCCATACTCATTTACATCATGAATCCGTAAATTTATGGAAGAAAAATCAAGATTTTTGCAAAATCTTCCAAAAACGAAAATTTAAGATTTGGAGGTCGAGTTGTTATCGGATTTTGGTAAAATTGGTATGGGTGGACTCGTAATTGAATGGGTTGTCGGATTTTATAAGTTTTGCCGGATTCAGAGATATGGGCCCCACAGACAAATTTTAAGCTAATTTCGGATTTTAATGAAAATATAATATTTTATTATGAAATTGATTACTATAATTTTTGTTGACTGTATCGAATTAATTATGACTAGATACGAGTCGATCGGAGTCAGAAAATCGAGAAAAAAACACAATACTTGATTAAATTGGAGCAAGTCGAGGTAAGTGACTTGTCTAACCTTATGTGGGGGAAATTTTCCCTAGGATTGATATTGATGTGATTATTGAAATGTGTTGAAAGTCGTGTGCACGAGGTGACGAGTGTGTACACAGGCTAAATTACGAAAGATTATATTTTAAAATTGTGTAGATCACTGTTGCGCATTTATTAAATTATTTTATCTAGTTATATTCTTCATCATTGATCTGAGATATATACTTCAAATTTGTTTGATCTTTTCTTACTAATTGTTTTACCTGTTTAGTTGAAACTTGGTTTCTTTTATTCTGTGCATTATTTGAAGGTTGATTTTCTTTAAATTAAATATTATTAATATGAAGTATTTGACATTTTTAAACTTGATATTGAAGCAACGTAGTAAAGATTTTGAAATATTATTTTTCTAAATTATTTACTCCTGAATATTTTTTTACTCATTGTGAGGGAGCCATGAGCTCTTTATTTTGGAAGAATATTATTGTTGAATTATTTTGACATGAGCCGTGAGCTCTTTATTGTGGAAAAATATTATTGTTGAATTATTTTGACATGAGCCGTGAGCTCTTTATTGTGGAAAAATATTATTGATGAATTATTTTGACATGAGCCGTGAGCTCTTTATTGTGGAAAACTATTATTGATGATTTATTTTGGCATGAGCCGTGAGCTCTTTATTGTGGAAAAATATTGTTGTTGAATTATTTTGGCAAGTTAAATTATTTGAGCACTTGAGGTGCAAATTATGATATATTGTGACATTGATACGCATGCGGTGGTATAATGTCTGGGTATTGAAACGCATGCGGTGAGATAAGGGTGGCTTGATACGCGTGGCTAGTAGGGGAACTACTAGAAGTCATGCGGTGTGATAAGGGTGGCTAAAACGCGGGATGCTATTTCGGAAAAAATATTTTCTTTAAATAAATTGTGAAGGCTCCCGCGGTGATATAAGGAAATGAGATATTGTGAATTTATTTATGATTTGGGACTACGAGGCGGTACCTCGGGAGTGCCCTTGTTGATATTGATTTATGGCCATAGTTGCTTTCGATTAATTGTTGTGATTTTCATAAAGTTGAAGGAAATTCTGTTTTGATTCCACGAGATATTATTTGCAATTATTTGGTGTCATTAAATGTGACATACTATTTGATTCATTTCCAATGTCATTTTATTTTACTACATTGATAAACATTTTACCATGCCATTATTATATTCCAGTAGGGCCTCACCTGACCTCGTCACTACTCTACCGAGGTTAGGCTTGGCACTTACTGGGTACCGCTGTGGTGTACTCATACTACGCTTCTGCACATCTTTTTGTGCAGATCCAGGTACATTTTACCAGCCTAGACGTCAGTGAGTTACCTGCGCACGGAGACTTCGAGGTATATCTGCCAGCGTCCGCAGACTCCGGAGTCCCCTTCTATCATTTTATGTTGCTTCCTTATATTTTATTTAGACCTTGACATATAGAGACATTGAGAATAAATTTTTAGAAGCTTGTGACTTATTTCTACCGGGTTTTGGGAGTTGAAATTTTTTGAATTGTAGTTTATTTATTTTAGATATTTATTATTATTCCGCATTGATAGGCTTACCTAGTCTTAGAGACTAGGTGCCATCACGACATCCTATGGAGGGAATTTGGGGTCGTGACAAAAGTCAACTCCACGGTCAAACTTCCAAACTTAAATTTCTATTTTAGCCATTTCAAGCCTAATTTAATTACGGGCCTCCAAATAATTTTTCGGAGCGCTCCTAAGTCCAAAATCACCCTGCGGAGCTATTGAAATCATCAAAATTCTATTCTGATGTCGTTTTCTCAAAATGTTGACCGAAGTCAAACTTAGCATTTTAAGGCCAACTCAAGGAACCAAGTGTTCCGATTTCAACCCGAACTACTACTAGAAAATGAATTTATTGGAATGATTTTTGGGCAACGGTTCTGTAACTGTTACAGTAGATCATATTTTGGAATGGTTTTAACCGTCCCAATAGAGTCAAAAGTCTTCTGGCACACTTCCTAAGAATAACCATCTCAATAGTGTAGTAACTGTCACCATGAGTACAGATATAGAGACGATTTTGATATGCGATACAATAGGGTTGTTTGTGGGAACGGTTTTGTGAAATAAAAAGCTATCAGGTCGGTTTAATTTTCCCTCTTTACTTTCCCTCCTAGGTATTTATTAAAAAACAAAAATAGAGGACCCCACTAATATTTTAATAACTCTAAAATATAAAACTAACCTAGAACACATCGACTTCATCATCTAGCGACTCCCCCAAAATCTCAAACACCCGTCTCTCTCTGTTCATCAACCTAGAACACACCGACGAACTTTGTCGACCTGCTCCGGTGAAGGACGATAACTTCCGGTGAAGGACGACCATTATCGGCTAACATACCATAATCTCCGAGGTAGGCTTTCGGTTTTTTACCCTGTTCGATGTTTGCTATTACTGTTCGATTTTCGCTTTCTTCTTCCCTAGTCTGAAAAATTATTTCATTGCTCCTTCTATTTTCTTTCTTTGATAATATTTCTGATAAACCCATTATTTTGCTTCTGTTTTGTTTGTATTATACGATATATTTTGTGATTTTTAGTTTGCGAAATTGGGGGATTTATTTGTTAGGTTTTAATTTTGTGTTAGAAACCATGAGATTTCCCCTTGTTGGATGTTTGCTATCGATGTTCGATGTTCGTTGTCTTGTTCGTTATTCTGAAAATCGTTATTCTGTATTATACAGTGGGTATGCATGGAGTAAATTTTATCGACAAATGCTATTGATGCAATGGCTCGTGGAGTATACTTTGGAGTTTTCAATTTTTCCCCAGAAAATTTTCAGCCTTTCTTCTGCCTTATTTCTGGATCATAGACATGAGGAACATGCTGGACTACCTGCAAGACAGATTACCAAGAATCTAGGGGCTTCTTTGCAATTAATATAACATTGACGACGAGACATAGTAATAATAATCTAAAATACATTCATTAGTATGACTAGGGTTGTTCAAAATCGATCCATAATCCGGCAAGTGTGTGTAAGAATCTGTTAAAACTTGGTATACTTTTGATTTTAAAAAAAGAATCTGTTAAAACTCGGTATGATTTCATCTTGAAATATCTATCCCAGTTTGGTGTAAGGGTATCCATTGGTTCTATTTGATGACTGATATACCTTTTGGAATGGTCCCATTTACGAAGCACAGTTGGTTTTCCAGTGATGCAAGGGCTAGTCTTTGCTTGACTAGCTAAACTGGCATTCCTTCTATGTTGTGGTGTCCAATTAACTTGGCGTTGAAGCGTGATTTGAATTGGAAGTGAGAAAATATTTAGCTTCTTGTTTGACATTCAGGCTTTGAATACTAATGTCATTAGAAGTTAGAAAAGCTTATTTAGAATAAAGCTGCAATTAGCAAACACTAGTGCACTACTAAAATCTTTGTAATAAAAAAGGGCAAACTACGGTCCAATAGATCCACATCTATTATATAAATATAAAATGAAAGTCAGTGTAGGAAGTAAATCCACCCCAAGTATCTTATATGATTAGAAAGGTATTGAAGGCCCAAGAATACTATGAGGAAGCTGTTTTCACTCAAGACGATGTACTGAATATGGACAGATTTTCTATCAAGAAGATGTACCAAGATGATGTATTCATGTGTTGTTAGCCTCTTTACTCTCCAAATGGGTTGCTTGTATTTTAGCTTCTTGTTGCTCTTACATAAGGAACTGTGACAGTAAAATAGAGTTCAACTTTGTTAGGTAAAACATCGATAACGAATCAATTACTTTGTGATTCAAACATCTTAAATTTTTTTTTGTTTAATCATTTATTGATCGTCATTTGTAGGTGCAGCGATTGCAGATGAAAGCAGTGATGAAGATCTTTCTTGAGTGTTGTTGATCGTTGCTAGACTTTCTCATTATGTTCCGGGATATTCTAGTTTAGAACGTTTTGTATGCAAACTCATCTATTTCATATTTTGTTTTTATATATGGATAATGCTAGTTTGATATTTCAATGTTATTTTGTAGTTTATATAAGTTATGGTGTATAAAATTTTGTTGCATGGGAAATATTCCTCATTCTGGAGCTATATATATATATATGAAATTACTAGGAAGAGCCGTTGCAATAGACAATATAACCGTTACAGTAAACCTATCAAACAATAATAGCAGCCCCTAATAACTGTTGCAATAGACTATAGATAACTGTTTCAATAAATCACAAAAACCGTTACAATATATTATAAAACCTGTTGCGATAGCTTTAAAATACTGTGGTTTATAACCGTCCTAACAGAATAAAAAACCGTTCCACAGATTGATGTAACGGTTTCATAATCGTTACAATATTTATATATGGGGACGGTTTTGTAACCGTTCCACATAACCGTTCTAATAGACCTATGGTAACACCAACTCCGGAAATGAGTGCTAAACCGTCCCAGTAGCGCTATAGGGTCGGTTAGTGTATTTACTGCAACGGTTTTAGAAGGGTTGCCATAGGCCTTATTTCTAGTAGTGAACACTTCCAAATCCCAAACCAACCATCCCCGTAAGTCATAAATTAATAAAAGTATATACGGGGAGTTTTATTTAGGAGAACGGGGTTCTAAAGTCAAAATGACCGGTTGAGTCATTACAAATTTATCCCTCTAACTAAGTTTTTTTTTTTTTTGGTCAAAAGAGAAGCTAATATATAAATTTAAATATTGTTCGTACAACTAGACATGCTCCTCTGAGCATCAAAGTTTCCAAGGTTGGCCAAAACATTAGAGACATCACTAGAGATAGATCTACGATATGTAGCTCCAGAAATATCCAACATAAGCCTAGGCAAAATAGCAGATGGTGGTAGTACTAAAATAGTAGGACCACCAATTTTCCAATTTTCAATCATTCCTTAGCTAGCAAGTCATCCACTTTGTTTTGCTCCCGAAAATAGTATTTTAATTCCGGATCTCCTAGTTGTTGCCTTAGTATCCTACAATCAAGTAAGATAGATGTATATTGTGGGGGGTTAGTTGTGAACATGTTAATAATCTCTATTGAGTCTATATCGACTACCAGAGGATGAAGGCCATGAACATACGCTAATTTTAGACCATGCAGAAGTGATATGAGCTCGCCATATGTATGCTCAGATTGAGGAATCTGCATGTAGTATCCTAGCACCCAATTCCCTTTGCTATTTCGGAAAACTCCGCCAATACCTCCTGCTCCATCTTTAAATGTTCCATCAATATTGAGTTTGAAGTGATTTTGTTTAGGAGGATGTCATTTGACGTGGAGAGCTAGAGGTGGTTTGGTGCTGCTGTCATTTCTTGCTAGAGCAACATACTCTGTAGCTTGCATATGTACCTGATTAAAATAAGCAGAGTTTGTGTGGTTATTGTATAGGTTGCTATTTCCGTTGATCCAAATATGCCAAAGACAAAAGGAAAACAGTTCTTTCCATGTGTAGATCGCATTTGGTAATGTAAGAGGGAGGTTTGCAATATTGTCCAACCAGTGGTGGTGATTGCCAAGAGTGTAAATACTAGTAAGACCAAGTCTTTGCCAAGTAAATTTAACAACCTCGCAGTCAATTAAAATATGATTAAGGGTTTCTTCACAAGATCTACATGTGGAGCATTATCTATCAATATTAATGCCTATTGAGTTTAAGTAGACTCGGTTGGTATAACATAACCAAATGAAGAATTTTATTTTATTTGGTGTCTTGAGCTTCCAAATCCACGAGAAGTTAAGAGTGTTTGGGTGGCTAGATTTGATAAGTGTCATAGCAGTTTTTGAGCTGAAAAAACCGGTGTTTATTAGTTTCCAAATTGGCCTATCTTCATGTTCATGGAATAATGGTAGTTGAACACTATTAATAGTGTTAAGTAACTAGGATGGTAGGTCAAAAGAGATATTTTTGAGGTTCCAAGATACATTTTCATTAAGGTCCGCAATATTGAGAGCATGTTCAGTAGCAGATAAAGGACCCTCTCTAGTAGCTCTAAGACTAGGAGTATTGGGTAACCATTGGGTATGCCAAAAATTAATGCTTTTACCATTTCCAATGATTCAACGGATACCTTGATTACAAAAGTACCATCTGTAACGACCCGATCGGTCGTTTTGAGCTCTAGTGCATCGTTCAGTTGTTTGAGGTTTTGAGTAGCTTCACTTCAGGTATTATGACTTGTACGTATGGCCGGAAATAAATTTCGGAAAGTTCGGGATTGATTTGGAAAGAGAATTCTAATTTTGAAAGTTTTAAGTTGGAAGAATTGACTAAGGTTTGATTTTTGAATAAACGACCTCAGAATCGGGATTTGAAGGTTTCAAAAGGTTCGTATGATGATTTTGGTCTTAGGAGCATGTGTGGATGTTGATTTGGAGGTCCGTAGGTTATTTCGGCGTCAATTGGCAAAAGTTGGAAAATGGATGATTTTTGAGAAGTTTGACCGGGAGTGGACTTTTTGATTTCGGAGTCATATTCCGATTTCGGAAGTGGGAGTAGGTCCGTAATGTCAATTACGATTTGTGTGCAAAATTCTAGGTCAATCTGACTTGATTTGATAGGTTTCGGCGTCGAATGTAGAAGTTTGAAGTTTTAAAGTTCATTAAGCTTTAATTGGGGTATGATTCATGATTTTGAGGTTGTTTGGCGTGGTTTAAGGCTTCGACTAAGTTCGTAATATATTTTGGGACGCGTTGGTATAATTGATTAAGGTCCCTTGGGCCTCGGGTTGAATTCCGGATGGTTAACTGATCAAGTTGAAGTTGTGAGATTGCTGAAGACTGGGCTCTGCTGGTGTAACTGCACCTGCAGAGCTTTGATCGCATGTGCGGCATGTGTTGCGTAGATGCGGAGGAATGGACTGGCGGACTGTGGAGCGCAGATGCAACAGGAACTCCGCAGGTGCGGACTCACACCTGCACTTGTTGGGTCGCAGAAGTGGAAGCAGGGGTGATGAGGCTGGTCCGCAGAAGCGGGTTCGTTCGCGCAGATGCGCGCCTGCATAAGCGGGAACATGACCACAGAAGTGGTTGGGCGGCTTAGTGGCCTCCACATATGCGAAGGGCGGATCGCAAATGCGGTACCGCAGAAGCGGCTTATGTGGTCGCAGAAGCGAAAGGATACTGGGCAGTAAGGTTTTATAAAAATAGGATTTGGCCCATTTTCTTTCATTTTTCACTTGGTTGGGGCGATTTTGGAGAGCTTAAAGTGGAGATTTTCATCAAGCAATACAAGGTAAGTGACTCCCACCTATTACAATTTAAATACATAGTTTGTATATGGAGTTTAACATGGAAATTAGTATAAATTGTGGGGTTTTTGGGAAGAAAACCTAGAATTTATATTTTTGGAATTTGACCACAAAATTGGACGTGGAATTAGGAATAAATTGTATATTTGAGTTCGTGGTATTATGAGTGAAGTTTATCTTCGAAAAATTTCGGAATCCGGGCACGTGGGCCCATGGATTGATTTTATAGACTCTTCGAGCGGAGTTGAGAATTATTTTTTAAATGATTAATTATGGGTATTAGAATATATTTTGACTGGTTTGCACGTTGTTTGAATAGTTTTGGATTGACATGCATTGGTTTGAGGTGTTAAAGAGGCCTTGGAGCCTGTTTTTGGAACTTCGGAGCGATGTAAGTCTCATGTCTAACCCTGTGAGGGGGAAGCTACCCCTAGGTGATATTTATTGTTATGTGCAACTAGTTGTGGGTGCTACGTATGCACGAGGTGACGAGAGTCCACACGTAGCTAAAGCATGTTTATGTCCGAGTAGACTTAGGTTCTTATCTTGTAATATTTGAATTATTTGAACTCATGTTGCTGGCTTAATTAATCGAATTATAAATGAAATTGATTTAGAAATAAATATATGTGTACTAGGAAAAGCCTTAACACTTTGAGTTGTGGGCGAGTTAATTGAGGAACGACAAAGATTATATCCATTTTTGTACTCACGTACGGTGATGTAAGCACGTGTCTCATAATTCGGTAACTTCCTTCCTTTTCTTGTGGATCGAGCCAAATGCCTCGGCAGTATATAGATAAATCTATGGTTCATGTCGTTCGATCCTCGGTAGTGTACAAATTATTCTAGATTGGACCGAACGACCTCGGCAGAATCGTGCGTTATATCGCTAGTAGTCCGAATATTCATGAGCTAATCTTTCCACTGATTCCCAGAATTTATATGTTGTTCCCTATTTATTTGATGATGGAACTTGACATTTTCCGAGTTGTTAAGGTTGAATACAAGATTTAGAAATTCTTGCCTTAAAAGAAGTCATTTGAAAGTTATGTAACTTACAGATTTACCCCATCATTGCCATATGCTTTATATCTGCTCATATTTTATTATATTGTTTTATTGGACCTTTAGTATGTGTCGATGTCGACCCCTCATCACTAATTATCCGGGGTTAGGCTAGATACTTACTAGGTACGCATTGATTTATGTACCCATGCTGCACTTCTACACTAAATGTGCAGGATCTGACAGGTTCATTGAGGACTACCTTGGCGCGTAGGCACACTAGTTGGGGAGACTTCATGTGAGCTGCATTCTAGGCTACACATCGCAGTCCACCGAGTCTCCATTGTACTATTTATTTTATTATGTCTTATTATATTTAGGACAGATGTTGTATTGTTATTGTACTCTTTAGAAAATGCTCATGCACTTGTGATACCGGGTTTTGGGGATTCCTTCAGGTTATTCATTATTGAGGTTCGTGTAAATATTTATTTCAATCGGTAAATTCTATTTTATAGTGTTCAATTAAGGAAAATTATGATTTCAAGATACTAAAATGAGTAATTAATTTGGTAAATCACCGTTGGCTTGCCTGGCGGTGGCGTTAGGCGCCATCATGGTCTATAGTAGATTTTGGGTCGTGACACCATCCCTTAAGAATGTTGCTCCAGATAATTTAATCAGTTCTATGTTGACGGGTATGAGTATGGAACTGGAAGTTTCTATGAGAGAAACAATATTTATTAATGAGGACTCGGGCCCAAAGGGAATGAGGGTTTTTAAAAAGTCGCTATGCA